AAGAAAGCCCGAGATTACGAGTATCCAAGCAATCAAGATAGGGGAAAGACTTGATAAGGCTACATGTTCCAAAGTAGCAAAATCAAGGAGCAAAAGTGGTGCGATTACAAGTTCTCAAGTAGTCAACCTAGGATCGAAAGGTGACGAGACTGCGTGTGTCAAAGCAGTCGAGCACAAGAAGGGACTCGGTGCGATAGCAAGAGATAAAGTCGTCAAGCTGAGGGTGCAAAGTGAGCAACTCTGCTCACAGTATGCCATGATGGAGGCATGGTCCAAGTTGAGGTGTCTCAGGCATAAATGAACACTTAAGAAGTATGTGAGTCGATTCAAAAAACTCATGCTCAAAGTCCCAAGTTTGACTGAAGAAGATAGATTCTTCACCTTCATGTTCGGATTGAAGCCATGGGCGAAGAGAGTGTTGGAGCGAAAGGAAGTCAAGGAGCTGTCTAAAACCTTGACAACCGCTGAGTCCATCAAAGAATTTAGAGTCAAGAAGAACAAGACTTCCAAAGCAAAACCGAGGGTAACGGTAAGAGATTCCGTGATGATGGCAAGTCAAAGGATGAGGAATGTTGTTCCTCGAGTGGCAAAGAAAATCCACTCAAAGATGAACCAAATGGTGAGTCTGGGGAAGATGTGTGCAGTCTTGGCACAAGTGCTAGTGTCAAAGATGCTAAACAGAGGGTAAGAGCCGAGTAAACAAGGGGGCGTAGACTTAAGATGCCAGAAGTGTTACAAAATTACCCGAGGGGAGCCAAGTTATCCAAGGTGATGGATGGGCCCAAGATCGAGTTGTCCAGAGAAGATGACGAACCCAGGATCGAAGAGGCGTTGAGAGTTGGCTCAATAAGTTTCATTTCTTCCAAGGCGAGTAGAAGCCAAGTGCAAGAAGAGTTGTCTGTGTCCAAGGAGTTTGCCGAGCATGTTCACGTAGAAAACATGGCTTCACAGACCATCATAAGAGAAGGGTTGAAGAAAGGGCTTGCCGAGGATGTTCAAGTGAGGAACAATCCTTCAAAGACTAGTAGACAAGAGTCGAAGGAAGCCAAGACGTTGAGGGACAAGGCAACCACGGAGAAACTATCCATTTACAAGTTGGGAAGTGAGCTCCAACCTTTGTGTTAGAAGGGAGGAGGCAAGAAGAGACATCGGACTTTGCCGTGAGAAAGTGTCGATGCATGATGGCGTAAAGAACTCCAATGACAAGGGTTCAATACGAGGAGTGTCAGACTTCAGGGAGTAAGAAGGGCTGACACAGATTTAGAGTAACAAGACCAGAAATGTTGCTGCATTGATCGAGGTGTGAAGATAGATTAAAATCATTCTTCAAGTGGGAGATTGTTAAAAGTCAAGAAAGATGGGCAGCTAAATTGTCAAAATATGCTGCAAATTCGGTGGCTTTCGGTGCACCGAAAATTATTTGTTGAAAAATGGTAATGGGATAATTACAATTAGTTCTTGGACTTTACGGTATTTATAAGATTAGTCCTTAAGCTTCAACTATAAATACCCTAACCCATTTAGCTTCAAAATCATCCCCAAATCATTCTAGCTCTCTCTCAAGTGTTTTTGTAAACACCTGTAAATTTTCTCCCTTTAGTAAAAGATCTACAGCAGTCTGGAGACATATGCATAATTGGCTGAACTCCATTATCAATTTCGGATATTATTTTTTTGTTTTTATTTCGCATTCTCACTAATCTGGTTATAGGAAAATTACTCGTTTATTTCCCAACAGTTGGGAGACTTTGGAGGTTGTTTGATGAAGATTGGAAGGCTATGGAGGTTGCTTGGTGAAATAGATGAGTATAATTTAAGTAATATTATTTACCCTATAATTTTTATTTTATTTTTATGATCTAACTTAAAAACCTATTTATTTAATCGAGGTTATAATACCATTAGAAGATTAGCAATAAAGTGAGCAAAATAATTCAATCCATAAAGTTCAGTAAGTAAATTAGAATAATTGAAAGTATAATGAGTAAAATAAAAAAGATAGTAAAGTTCAATAAGAAACAATATTATTCACCCTTTTTACATTCTTCTCAAAATATATGTCTACTGCTTTTAAACTCCAAAACTATCTCTTTCCTTTATTGAGATTAGTGTCCCTTCCTTTCTATAAAGAATAAAAAAATGTATATACTTCGTGTCATTTATGTTGTTATCGATTATTAACGACAATCGAATAACAATAGAGAATAAAGCTAGTTAAAAGAATAAAAAGATTAAAGAATAATCAAAAATATTAAATTAATTCCATAAATAAAAAGTTAAAAAAGGCAACGTTTTTATGCCAAATGATCATGAGGTTAAATAATTAAAAAAATAAAATATGTGTAACTTAAGAAAAAAAATAAAAGTTTGGTGAACAAAATAAAAACATGCTGAAAATTAAATGACTAAAAAGATAAATAACCCTCTATTATTTTATATTGGCGAAAACACAAATCTTTTATCCCAAACGAATGGTTTCAGTTTCACTGGATATATTACAATCAGTTAAAAATACACAATAATAGATTTTGGAGTATATATGTGATAGCAAAATTGCCCATTGTTACATTATTTAAGATAATATGATAAAATAAAAATGAACAACTACACAATTTTAATTATGAATACAATGATTTTAATGATGATTATAACAAAGAATTTTGCATGTTATTGCCTGTTCTCTCAATATATAATCACATGTTTAGAGTTGAAAATGACAAAATATAATAAAATTTTATACACAAATTTATCAATATATATCACATTCCAAAGTGACCAAGAACAGAAATTAGTCTCTCACACAACATGTGCTGTGATCAGTTCTTTCATACTTCATAAACATATATATATATATATATATATATAGCTTTATTATTATGTTATAATTTTATTTCAAGATTCTTGTTTTGATTGAACTTTATTTGATGCAGATTTGTTTTTACAGGTCCTTCCTCACATAGAAAATCGTTGGATTTTGTTGTTTGCTCGAACTGAGTCTAGGCTTGCCGATAATGGGTTGCCTGAAGGGCTGCAGAGGTTGTTTCGTGGAACGTTTTGAGAGAAAAATCGTGGGACGTTTTGAGAGGTTGTTTTTACTGTTCCTTCCTCGCATACAAAATCGTGGGACGTTTTGAGAGAGAAAGGTCCTTTCTTGGTGGTTCATCTCAGGTACGACAAGGATGTATTGGCGTTCACCGGTTCAGGGAAGGTTTAACAAAAGAAGTGGCTGCAGATGTGAAACAAATGAGGTGAGTAAAGAACATCGATTCCGATCGTGTTCTTTATGTTCGTAACTTCAATACTTTGATCTAACTTTGTTAGTATTCGGATACGCTGACGATGGATGGAACCATAAACCAATCGATTCGAAGAAGAAACGAGACCGCAGATCGTACCTCTCAACTCCAGAGTATACAGCTATAGTATATTACAGGCATTAGGCATTGATAGCAGCATTACAAGTTACGCTGTAGCAGTAGAAATATATCATAAGGAGAAGAGAATGACAGATCTTTCAGCACCTTCTCCGAATCTGGTTAGCAAACAGACTATATTAAAACCAGAAGAGCTTGAACCTTTCATGGACCATACAGATCAGATGACTGCAATGGATAAAGCCGTATTTTCGTTCCCCCTTTCGTCGGAAACATTGATAAAGCCGTCGAAGGCCACCGCTGGTTTCACTTATAACCCTCTCTTGAGACTAAAAATGTCTGGTTTTCATGTCTTTATTTACTGCAACTCGTTTAATTTGTTCATTGTTTTGCAGATACTTGGGATTTAAGACGTCAATTTCACTAGACAGAAAACTTTTGTTTGGTCTAATTGATCAGTACAAGAATGGAACATTGATGTGGGATGAGCTGTCTTTGTTAGTCAAGAAAATTCATGAAGATCGTAGAGGGAAACCCGCAAGGAGAAGGGAGAATCCGGATCAACCCGGACAAGAAGATTACGTCTATTCTAATCCTTACAAATGTTTACCATCATTTACTTCAACTAAAGGCCAGCAAAGGACTAAGCTACACGATTGAATAGCTTTAAACATCAATAAAATTCAGTTGAATCATCAAAGATACATAATCTAGCCAGTTAGGTACACAATCTGATTCCTTTTCAATCATCAAACTAATGAAGTTCAAAACTTTCTTAGATTCAAACCAATCCCAAGCCATTATATAATCAATGCTCTATGAAATTACAGAACTTCAATTACCAGATCTCCTGCGGAGGCCACAACCCCGCTGCCGTATCATCGGCCTAGTGAGCCTTGAGGCCTTCTGAGTTCCTTAAAACCTCTAGAGTTCTTTGAAGCCACCAACAGGCCCATGAAGTCTACACTCTATCATCTAATAGTCGATCTAGTTAGTCTGTCAATCTACAAAATAGATATCATGAGTTTATGATCTTAAACTTGACTACAACACTAGAGCAAATATAGAAGTTACCGTGCAAGGGTGATAAAGAGGTATTCTTTTAGGCTGCCTCTCAACATCTATTGCTTTTAACGATTATTAATCAATATTTTTAGTTCACTTATCCATCGATTACGATTCTCCATCTAAATTATAAATAATGAATCGTTCAAAACCGTCACAACTATAATTTTTCCATGAACAACACTTAAAAGGTATTTTCACAGAAAGTGACTCTCAGGTCTAATAATTTCAGCCAGGTGAGTGCATGTATTTGTGGGTACGATATCGTACATGGCAGAAGCCTCCAGCCAAATAGTTTTCACCACCGGTGCCACACTTGCTTTACATAGCCTGCTAAAAGCCAACTCCCTGCACTTTCAACGAAGCTTCGTCACCACAAAATAAATGTATCTGTGTAATAAACCCGACATGTAAGTCATTACTATAGATTCATACGTAAAACATTACTATAATGACATCACTAGTAAAACCAACGAGTAGTATTTTTTTATATATATTTTTATATATTAAGTTAATTTGGTTACTCGATCGACTGAGAAAAATACATCACCTTTTCAAAAAATGTCTGCCATTACAGCGGTTGCTAAAGCTTTGTTCAACACATTTTTTCAGAGTTGGAGCAATCCTTCGTCTCCTTCCATTTCTCTTTTGCTTTACTCTCATTGTTGTGTTATATTTTTACTTGTTTTTTATCACCGTTTTGATGGATATTTCCACGTTTTGCTGAAGATTATTGCTTCATCGTGTGTAAACCATATTAGAACCCTAAAAAAGAAGTTGATCGATTTTGATGTCACGAGTTTATTTTCAGGGATTTGTAGTGCTATCGCTTTTAAGTCCATTAGATTGGGCAGCAATGCGAAGGATAAGAAAGTGTGTACCGTTGAGTTGGATCCCGGTGAAGTTCCATCGCTTTACGAATCCGAAGAAGAAGAAGAAGAACGACGGCGTCAACAACAACGACAAAAGCAATTGGGAAAGGAAGATAGAATTAAAGAAGAATGTTCTTCGAGACAAAGATCGAACATCCAATGTAAGGACACATTCGAAATTCTAATTCAAAAGTTAAGCGAATGCGAAGAAGATATTGGATCGGTATGTCTTTTTTTTTCCTTTGAAATATTTTTGTTCCATGTATATTTAATGAATGTGACTATCCATGTATATTTAATGAATGTGACTATGAAAAATCAATTTTTGTTCGTTTTATATGTTTGCAGTTCGATGAAACGTTGGCCTTTTGGAGACGGAAAGAGATGGAAGAGATCATATCTAGAAGAAAGCTCAAGTACTAGGCAAAATAAATTGCAATTTTTCTTATATTTTATCCTAAGATTTCCGATATCTGTCGTAACATATTTGTGAATATCTCTCAATATTTTTAACAACTATTTTATTTTATATAATTTCATAAGTGAAAGAAATAATAATTTAATATAATCATTAAAAGGAATATAAATACATAAAACTCAAAAAAAATACTATTTAATTGAAAAGTGGTTTCAAGCCAATGACTTAACTACGAACAATTATATAATATGGAAGTCTTAATTTATCATTTGAAATAAGCGGTTGAATGTCAGACGGTACAGAGTCAAGCAATGAAACTCGATAGTGATCAATAACAGGCATCTTCGTTAGTGGGTCATCCACCACGTTGCATTCTCGTGGGATCCGAAGAAACTCCGTAAATCAGACTTGGTTTCGAATAGCATAGATGACTTTTACAAGTGGGAGATGGCTGAAATCTGAAACTAAGAGCAATGATTAACTTAATGGCTTCTACATAGTCTGATTTCACTTGGAGTCGTTCAAAACCGTGGGTCCATACCACTTGAAGATCAATGTAGAGGATCCACATCTCGGCTTGAAGAGGCGTGACAGTGACGAGAGTTTTTCAGAATCCAACGATCCAACCACCGTCACTAGAGCGGAACACACCTTCGATGGAGCCGAAACTAGTGGTAGATGACACCAAGGCATAAGTGCTCAAGAGATCCAATCTTGCAAAGGTGGAGTCCACCCAAAGGACTCTAGCGGTGATGGTGAGTAGCAACAACCTTTGAGAGGAAGGTTGCGGAGTGGAGAGCCCAGACAAAGTTAAGGCGGACTACATTGAATAAAGGTGAGCAAGAATCGGTGAAGACGAATTCATTACGTCGCCTCTAAATTTACCACAATTAAGAGAGAAAAAAAGAGATTCCAAGGCATATTACCCTGAGTAGCATTAGATTATTAAATAAATTGTCATCCAATCATTTTCCAATGGAACAATCAAAGAAATCAGTGGCATGATCAATGGGAATAAGTGTTAGTCAGAGGCCTCGGATTGCATAACAGTCTCGAAGGACATGAAGTGTTGTCTCATGTTCGGGTTCGCAGATTGGGCATATGGGGTTGGACGTGAAGCCACGTCAAATTTTTTCCTCATTAGTCATCAAACGCTGTCGAAGGGTAAGCCAAAGAAACAATTTTATTCTCTACAGAATCGGGATAATCCATAGTGATGACCAAAAGTAACCAATTTTTTATAAGTCAAAACTAACAGTGAAAATGTGAGTGGATTCCAATACTATATACATATGTCATTGCTATTATTCATGTTGGGGGGAGGCAATGCCCATAATGTGGGGATAACTTCCGAAGCAAGGAGTGAAAAGAGATGATTGATCTCAATTCCTTTCAACGGTAACAAGGTTATGTACATGCAGCCAAAGATTTGGTTGAACTCTATTAAACTGTTTGGGAATCAAATTTATATCTTTAAATTGATTTAAACCACGTGGGGTTATCAATTTGATTTTGAGATATATACGTGGAGGAGTGATGGTATAAAAAAAACGTGAGACCCACAAGACGAAAGGTTTACAATCGCAACCGCAAACTAAACACAAAATAAGAATATTTTCCTAAATACAAAAAAACTAGTCACATAAGATCGTTACCGTAAACTAAACACATAATGAAAATATTTCCTAAACACAAAAAACTAGTCACTTAAGATCGTGCGCATAAACCATACAAGAAAAATGTTAAAAATATAATCAAATAAATTTGAACAAAAGGTAGATATAAACAAATATGATCTCTCTGACAAACAAACCACAAAAGTATATGAAGCTTTTAAAAGACCACTAACAATACACAAATCAGAATCAACCGATGTGAAAATACTATCTACGAAAGCAAATCTCATATACAAATCCAATCTGAGTGTCCAAAGCATGAAAGATCATCATCACAACAAATAAACATCATCTTGATCAGTCGTGGCAATGTCAAATCCAACCCTTAAAGAAAAATAATAAATGAAAACAACGATAAATGATTGAAAACATATCATAAGACAGAGAAAAACATGTCATAAAAATAGAAGAAAAGTGTTATAAAGATAAAATTATTAAAAATACAAAACAAGAAAAAAAACAAAGACATAATAAATTAAAATAATAATAATAAATATCAAGTGCCGACAACTAAAACTAAAGGTGTTTATATCACAATAAAATATACATGTTAATTATTGACAACAATACATGTATATTTATATATTCAACATTAATACAAATACCTTAAATCACTTATTTATCTTAAAATTTTGATTGTGAGACATCCAATTCCCACTTAATTATTTCTCCACCAAAAGTATTCAGTGTATTCATTTAATTACATTTATTAGATTTAATGGATTAAAATTATGACTTTGCATCATCCCATCTTCATATATAAATCCCCTGGCACAAACAGACAAACAGAAGCCAACAACGGTGTAGTTCGACAATTCCCTGTGCACTCTCTACATCCAACGGTTTAAATTTACTGTTCTAATGCCTTTCAACGGTTTAAATGATATGTTTTAACTAAACGTAAATTGTTTATTTTATTTATTATAACTAAATTTAAATTATTATACTTAAATAACACATTTTATAAAATTTAATTATTAAAAATGTTTACAATAATTATGATAAAAAAATAAAAATATAACCATTTAAAATCAATAAACAACAAATTTAATAAAGCGAATAGAATATAATTTATTATAAAACACATGTAATATTTTACATCAATTCCCTATAATTTGATTAAGTTCATATCATAAAATTAATATTTTTAATTATTACAAAATAACTATTTTATTCGGACTTGTAAACATACTTGGACATTCGAAACTATGAATGATTAAAAACTATGATCACTCACATTAACAATAACTTTGCTCCAAAGCAATTGCATGATTATCACTAAATAAAAAAAATAAAAATGCGTATAGAAATAATAAAAGTTATATAACGTGAAAATATAATAAAAAAGTAAATTAACAAAAATGTTAGAGAAATACAATAACTCATCGACCACAATTAGATAATATGTTGAAAAGTTCGTTATCTCTAAAATAATAACTTATATTCAAATTTCAGAGATAGAATAACAATATTAAAATATACAAACCAACTTACCTTAGTGATTAAAAAAATCGTTGTTCTTTTAAGAGGTACATTAGTTCGAGCACCAACAACTATAAGGGTGATTGAACATTCATTGTTAAAAGATTAAGAATACTTAAAACATATATTATTTTGTAATCACCTTTAACTTAATTAAAAATCTAATAATATTTAAATTGTTATACCTCTATTTATATATTTCGTTTGATTTTAAATATATAATTTCGGGATTTCAGGCTTGTTAAATTCAATATATATTATATATATAATCTTGGGTAAAGTATAAAAATAGTTATCAAAATTTTAAAATGCTTACGTTTTGTTCATCACATTTTTAAAACTTGTAACGTATTTATTAAAAAATTAATTATTTTTTATTATTATCATTATCGTTAGCTACCGTTAGAAAATGTTGACGTGACTTGTTATCTTCTTCCTCTTCTCTTCTTTCCTTTTCTTTCTCTTTCCTTTTTTTTCTTTCATAACCAAATCTTCTTCTTCTTCAATGCCACAATGCACCTCCAACCACCTCATCCCTCTCAATTTAACATACCTTATCCCTCTCAAAATAACACACGATAAGTTTTGCCTTTGAAAATCTCTATCTTTGATGTTTTATCTAAGAAATCTGTAATTATGTTAGAAATCTTCTTAGTTTATCCATATAATTATAAGGGTGATAATAGTAAAAATAAATTTACGAGGTTTAACCTTAAATCTCACCACAGTAAGATTTTTGAGATAATAATATAATCAAGAAACTAATATCTCTTTTTAAATTTATAAGGCCCAGATTTTAACTCTGAAATCATCCACGATAACAATCAATTTTGCTACTTATGATATTTTGTTAGGATTATTAAAGTTCAAAAGATCAATTGAAAAAGTTGTCAATAATGAGTGAATTGACCTTTTTGAAAATTTAGGGAATAGAGGAGAAAAGAAAAGAAAATTTGTACAATGGTTTATAGTGATTCGACTTCTCAATTAAGTCTACATCCAGTACCTTAGCTCCACGCTAAGGATTTTCTAACAAATTTACTAATTTTTTCTTTCTTTTTCTAGGCTCAAGAGTAACATTTACAAATTCCCTAGTTTTTCAATGACTAAACTGGAACCACTTCCCTTTTACAAATGTTGAAAGATGTAAACAAGAAAACCTCACAAAGGTAGGTGTTTACGACAATTAAACTCACAAGAAAAATAATTAAACGATTTGCAATGAGCTCAAACACTTATGCACAAGAGAAAAATGAAATAAAAGAGTGAAAGAACTTTTCTCTTGATCTCAATAGCTTGGATAGGTGTTATAACATTCTTCAAGTGTCATCAACTTGTCTTTATATGTTGTAATAAGTTTGTGGTCGTTTCTAACCGTTGAAGATGTTCTGTAGTCGTTGGGGATTAATTTTCTATAAAAATAAATCTGGCCAGAACTGTAACACCCCCAACCCGTATCCGAGTCCGAGGTGTTACATTGACTTTTCAAAACTCTGTTCTTGACAAATCCGTAAAATCTTAAATTCATCATTTAAGAAAATGAGTACTTTACATTAATAAGTATAATCAAATTGTTTTCAAAACCGATCAGAGCGTATTCTATTCAAATTTTGTAATTACATGCCAGTTAAATTCTATATAACAAAATACATATATTCAATATGTTTTTGATATGATCTTCGTAAAGGAGATGCTGACATTTCTTGCTCCTCTTAGCATATCTTCTCGCTTTCCGGAACCTACGTGTGAAACACTCACATGCTAAGTCGATGAATTAGTGAGGCATATAAAACATATAATATTACTCTACTCATATCGACGCATAAATAATTAATACTATCATATCATATAAAAAGCATATATC